AAAAAGCCCCCCCCCCCCAAAAAAAAATAGTCCTGAACACCTTTTTATTTTCTTCTTTTCTTTTTTTTTTAAGTTACAGTTTGTGTTTTTCCTTTAATACCTTTAAAAAAAATTGAACACACACACACAGAACACACACACAAAAAGAACAGACTGTTTCCATTGGGCCAGGGCTGTTTAGCATCTACAGTATATGTGTCAAAAGAAGCGTCTCTTAGCTGGAGAGTCTGGTTCTATTGCCAGGGATGCAGGGAAGGAAAGAAAGTAGGAAGGACGGAAGGAAGGACCGAAGGAAGGATGGGTGTGCATTAGCGAAACACGCACACACACGTTGTCAGTGTTTCAGCCAAATTTTATAGCATGTGGTGCTAATGTGCACGTGTGTGTGTGTGTGTGTGTGTGTGTGTGTGTGTGTGTGTGTGTGTGCCTTGAGGGCCAGGGCCCAGCCTTCTCTCGACTGCACAACCTAAGGCGAAGCCACGAGGGAGCCATCAAGCAAGCCTGAGTGAAACCAGACCTTTTTTAAAAAAGGGGAAACCTCCGCAACAACACTGCTCACACAAACCAGAGAAGCCTCTTGTTGGCCAAATTATTCCGAGAGTATTTTCAGCCCATTCCAAGCAGCCATCTACTGGTATTATGATGATGATGATTATTATTATTATTATTATTATATGTGACCAAAAACAACCCACAGCGGGCGTCGGCGCTCGCTGTGCTGGGGAAAACAGGAACAGTTACAGGCAAGCCGCTACATGAGCTGCTCCACTTGGCCTCTGCCCTTTTTTCACAATCCTGTGGAAGAGACGTTTGTCAGGAAGGGTGTGTGAGCTTGATCAGCAAGACTGGCCACCGAGTGTATCCCGACACACAGTATTGCTACATATTCGCACACGCTATACGCGGTTGCAGTCTCGCCGTCACCTCGACTCGTTGGGCACCCGTACAAGCCGTAAATGAAAATATCAGTTTCACGTTATGTTTATGTGATACGGCAGTGCCTTGACTTACAAAGTGCCCCAACTTTCGGCCTTTTGTTTTTAAGACAGCAGGGTGTCACGTCTGTTTGTGGTAAGGTATTATTGAGGCCCAATGTGAGCTAATGCTACTGATGAGCCTCATGTTTGTTTGCGACAATTAATACATCAACCGAATATAGTTGTTTATGTAACATGGATTCATGATTGTGTGCATGCGAGATGCAAGGTGTTGGCGCTTTATTAGCCGCTTCGTTTGAAGTGCTTTGCCGCCACCTTGTGGCATCTATATGCAATTACAAAATCATTTTAGCGGGGCATCGATTTGAATTCCGGGGTTCACTGTGCTCTATAGTATTTAGGCCGAACAGTGGAATAGCGGTTCGCGCATCTGCATCACAGTTCGCAGGTTTGGTTTTTGAACCTCAGTTTCCGGCATGTTCTGCCCCATGCTAGCGTGAGTTTTCTCGGGGGTTCTCCGGTTTAGGCTTCAACTCAGCGACACTTGACAGTTAAGATGGTTAAAATGTAACTAGAAATCCTTTAGGCACTGCATTACCAGTACAATAAATAGTATCTTCGATGATTCTGTTTCCATTATTTCCTGAAGAAAATGTATTACAACGTCACAGATGAGCGCCAATGTCATGTCAGTTCAGCCGAATAGAGGACCCGGTTCGCTATGAATGAGAGGAATTCTGACAAGGAGTTTACATTCTGTCGGCCGGCATGCATGGGTGCGTGCGTGCATGCGTGCGTGCGTGCGTGTATGTAGATAAACAAACCCCGGTGAACCTTAAAGCCACACAAGCCCACACTGACCCACATTTGGGACGCTCCTAATAATACGTTTGCAGACTCTTGCCTCCGTGTCGCCGCCTATGCTCAGCAATGGCACACAAAGGTCTCCACTGAGTGATTCTGCAGGTGTTATATAACAGTCACTCCTACTCTGCCAATGCCTCTGACAGGGAGGGCGACTCAGTCAATGCACTCACGCGCATACACACACACACACACACACACACACACACACACACACAGAACCACATGGACACTCGCTCTCAGTTTTCTCCCTCCCCCCAGCCGCATGGACACCATTGTGCGACGCACATGGTATACGCTGTGGCTCAGAGAATCCATACCAATGAATAAGGACATTTCTGCCAGGGCCACAACTCGCCGCGTGTCATAATAACTTGGCACAATGCCGGCTGGCCCCAAGGTAGGGAGAGTAGTCCCCGGACAAGTTAGCGCATAATACAATTTTGACCCATTAGCCTCATTAGCAAACAGCTGCTCGGTGACACATGATGGAACACAAAGCGACGTTAAGGTTTAACCTCCGTGTTGTGTTTGGAGGGTGCGCAACGAATTAAATGCGCGCCTTTGGAAATATAAAGATAATGAGGCGCATAAATAAGAGAAGGTCAGCGCAGTGGTTATTGGTTAGCAGGTCTGATATATAGTTCTGAGGTTCTGGGTTCAAATGTCATTTCTGGCATTCTTGCACTGTAGCCCCGTATTCAGTGGCCCTCAGAAAACCATAAAAAGCTAATTGTTTCTTACATCGCGTTGGGCTATCTGTCCATTCATTTTCATTACCGTGTATCTTCATTAGACTACCAGGTGAGCTGGAACCTATTCACCTGACTGGGTGATAAGCAGGGTAACCCTGGACAGGTCGCCAGCCAATCACAGTGAACATGCAGAAAAAAAAAAAAACATTGACACTTACATTCAAACAGGACAGTTTTCGAGTCTTCGATGAATTTAACATCCATGTCTTTGGAATGTGGGAGGAAACCCTCACAAACCCCTCAGAGCCAAGATCTGAACCCAGAACCACCCGACTATGAGACGGTCGTGCTAAACACGAGGCGCTAGGGCACGGCGCTACCCTCTAGTTTCATCAAAACAACGAGAAATGATGGCACCATATTTAAAAATTCCAGACAGAAGCAAAACCGGGTGTTCATAGTTGCGGTCTCAAACGCACACTAACACACGCATAACAGGCGCATTACTCCAACCACGTGCTGAGCGGCTGCCGGTCATGAAAACAAAGAAGGCATCATCCAGCACACTCAATTTAGTCACACATGCATTCACATGGGATGTGTATTCTCCACGCCCCGTTCACCCCCACTCAGATATTTTGCAGGGAGGTTGCACCGCATCGCGAGTACCTCAGTGTACCAGAAAAAAACATTCCATTTTTGCTCAGGGCAACTCCGGACCGGATTTTAAAAAAACATAAATAAATAAAGACTGACCTGTATGGCAGGGAGAACGAGCGGCTTGGACGTCCTCCTCCTCTTCAGTTCCACGCATTTCCTCAGCTTACAGATCTGATGGCCGGTGCTGCGGTTGAGGCAGCAGCTGCACCGGCCGCAGCTGATGGTCCTCAGGCACGGCTCGCACTTCCCGCACCTGCTCCGCTTTCGCCTCTCCTTGCGTTGCTGTTGCTTATTGGATATTGACGGAACAGAGGATTCGCCGTAGCCCGACTCCGACTCGGTTTCCAAAGAGAAGGAGGAGCGCGTACTCTCAGAACTGCAGGAGAAAGCCGAACTGCCGTCCAGAGAAGGGGTCGCGATCTTTGGCGGCGGGTCTAGTTCGGGCACGGCGACGACTCCAACCCGATCCTCGTGAAGGACCGGTTGACACTCGGCTGGAGTCTCAACGTGATTCCGGTTGTCCGGCAGTTCTGGAGGGGGCTTCCTATCTTTGGCTTGCGGTGCGGGAAGAGGAGGGTTCTCCAGACTTTGCAGTCGCTCCCAGAAGCCTCTTGATTTCAGAGAGTCACTCCGGATGATAACTGGGAAATTCCTTGCTACAGGGATGGTATGTTGTGACATCGAGGTCTCTGGTACAGCTGAGGAACTTGGGACCGGAGGTTTAGCACCTTGAAGAATCGATTGCATGTCTGTCCCGTCCTCCCTTAGAACCTCGAGTTGGGATGACTCGGAAGCGTCGGGGGCTTTGGTGGGATTTGAGGTAGCTGCGTTTGGGAGAGTTAGCACCTTGTCAAGCGACTGTTCTGGCAGTCCCTCGACGGACTGAGGTCTATCCGGAGGTTGCGATAGAACTGAAATACTGAGGAGGGACTCAGCAGGATTGCTCTGTTTTGGTCGTCCCTCACCATCAGCCAGCTCCTCGGCAACGTCCGCCGTCGTTTGCTTGACCTCATCCAAACTGTCAGAGGTTTTCTCCGCCAGTATGCCCGAATTTATCTCCGAGTCGACCGCGTTTTCGGTCTCTCTCAAGACCACATCGACGTCGTCTTTGACACGACTGAGTTTGGTTCCTGTGAAAGATGACGTTTGCGGTCCTTGAGAAACAGGAGAGGGGATCCTCGTAGCAGCTGATTCGCCGGGGCTCGCTTGACGGGCGTCGTCACGGAGGTTGGGTTGGAGGTCTTCATTGGAAGGGACCTCGGTCACAGCCTCACCGATTATGCTCGTGTGGTTGTCTCGCGGCACACAGTCCTCCAGGGTGTCATTGCACGGCGGCGAGTCCGCCTTGAGGGGGCTGCCCTCTTTAGCACCTTTGACACAAGCAGGGCCTTGAAAATCCGTTTTCAAAGAAACCGGCAAAGGTTCTTCGGGGTCTGCTTTCTCGAGGTCCTCCTCGGCCGTCGGGTTATTGCTGGTCTTTGACGGCTGGTTTCTGGAGTTAGCACCTCCCCTGGTCTTCCTCGTGCCCCTGCACGGTTTGGGTGGCAAGAAGGAATCAGTTGACAGCTGCGCCCCCCGCAGGGATTTTCTCCGCCAGAGGGTGGCATCTAACTCGCTGTAGTGGTCAGGCAACTTGCTCAACCCTCTAAGCCTCGTGGATCCTGTTAAACTTAGGGCATGGTTAACTCTACCGGGGGATACACTCCCCTGACCTGAGGACCGGCTACCTAACCTTCTTCCTCTGGGGCTGCGGCCCGACCGAGGCTGAGGTTTGGCACTCCTAGTGGGGGCAGTCGTGACCTTCTGGAGGCGCTCCGATACTCGTCCCCTGCCTTTATTTGAGTTGCTGGTTTGCCGTTTGGTGCCGGCGACTTTTTGGCCATTTTTTCTCTGAGCGGGGGTTTGTCTCCTGGCGGATTTGGTGGTGGCTGGCATGGCTGACGATAATCAGGGGAAGTTTTTTTACAGCCAGCATGGGAGCCAGATTCGAATTAAGATTCTGTCTAAAATCTACCTCTATTTTATTGATTTGGCTGTGGAAGCTGGTGGTACATGACCTATGAAGACAAACATGAACAGGTTACCGGGGTAATAAAAACACAAAGAAACATCCAAGAGCCAAGCCTCATTCAATTTCATGTTTTCAAATCTGTGTCTCATTCACACGTCTCAATCTTGGAAGTGTCACAAAAGGACTGAGCAAAAATCTTTTGAACGTATTGCTGGCTGCGAGCAAAAAAAAAAAAAAAAAAAAAAAAAACTATCATAAAATATAATTGGCTTCAGAAAAACTGCCCCAGTGTTTGCATTTTTCACAGCATTGTAAAACATCTCTTGCATATGTTCTGGAGCAAATGACTTATTCCATGCATCACGACACTACCGGTTACGAGCGTGGTCACTGAATGAATTAAACACCTCAGTCTAGGCACTACTGAATTTGGATGTTTGAATCCATTGAGAATAGCGGAAGGAGTAGAATGTCAAAAATATGGGGAGAATAATCAGATCCAGACTTGCCATGAGGCAAGCACAAGCAATTATCTGAGGCCCTTACCTGGGGTTTCTTCAGTGAACCTAACATGCGTGTTTTTGGAATGTGGGACAAAGTCGCAACACCCAGAGAAAACCCACTCAAGCACTGGGAGAACATGGCAACTCTCCATAGCAAGACCGGCACCCGGATTTGAACGCTGAACCTCAGAACTATGTGGCGGATGTGTTTAGCACTGGTCCAGGGAGAATAATAAAATGAGTATTTTGACAATGATTTACAAAAAAAATGAGTTAGACATCCAAAACATGTTTTTTGTTTTTTTTTACCTTGTCTGGAGTGACAATTTGGCCACGCCTGACTTATGTCCTGTCACAACATGGTGTCAAAAACGTCGAGTCAAACATAGATAAGCATGAATAAATTGTTCTAAACACAAACACGAGCGCTTCCTCCTTTGCGTGAGCAGTTTAAAGGGCAAACACGTTGCCGAGTGCTGCTCGGGGCCAGATCCTGTTGTCGAATGTGCTTATTACAGCCTTACAAACGCCCTCTGCG